CCAGCTACTTGGGAGGCTAAGGCAAGAGAATCGCCTAAGCCCAAGAGCTGGAGGTTGCTGTGAGCTATGATGCCATGGCATTCTACTGAGGGCGATAAAGTGAGACTGTCTCAAAAAAAAAAAAAAAGAATATTGCCTTGTAAAGTAAACCAAAGAAACCTTTACGAATCTGGATTCTTTTACTGGAATGTTAATCTTACCCACATTTTCCCACAGGGCCTTAGTGAATGCCTACAAGTTGCAGCCTACACCTGGGGTTCAGAAAGTTGGCATTAGGCTTTTCTTCACTGTTGTGGATTATGTCAGTGATGAGACACAGCGTCATCCTCCCACAAGGCAGTTCTTTACTTCATGCATTGAGATCTTGGGACAGGTAAGATTATTCCGTATTTTTAGCCTTGATCAGGTTCACTGAGTCCCTGCAGTGTCTTTAGACAGGGTCAGCATTGACTTCAGACTTATACTGCAGGTGGTGAGTCTCATCTCAGTCAGAAGCCCTTGGAATTATTGGCTTCTCAAGATATGATTAGAATTGTTGGTATAGAATTTTGCTTCCCATACAAGAGAGATTAAACTATTTATATTTGAAGGTCTGGGGAGATAACCGATTCTGTCATATATTGGGTTTTTTTTTTTTTTTGCAGTTCTTGGCTGGGGTTGGGTTTGAACCTGCCTTCTCTGGCATATGGGGCCAGCACCCTATTCTGTTGAGCCACAGGCGCCACCCATATATTGGTATTGTTAACAGTAACATTACGGAAACTCTTAATTGTTTATAAAAATACAGTGTGTCCCAAAAGCCACCCCTAAAATTGCCATACATTGGGAGAATGGGAAATTGTAGGGAAATCTACTTCTAATTAAAAAATATTCATTACAAAATTGTATAGAATATTTCAAAAATATTCTCTATATGTTGGCAACCTCTTTATAAAATCTTGTAATGAGGCTTGGTGCCTATGGCTCAAGTGGCTTAGGCGCCAGCCACATAAACCTGAGCTGTGGATTTGAATCCAGCCTGGGCCCGCCAAACAACACAGCTGCAACCAAAAAATAGCTGAGTGTTGTGGTGGGCACCTGTAGTCCCAGCTACTTGGGAGGCGGAAGCAGGAGAATCGCTTGAGCCCAGGAGTTGGAGATTGCTGTGAGCTATAATGCCACGGCACTCTACCCAGGGCAACAGCTTGAGGCTCTGTTTCAAAATTAAAAAAAAAAATCTTGTAATGAATATTTTATAAATAAAGATACAGTTAACTACAATTCCTCATTCTCCCGGTGTATGGCGACTTTTGGGACACCATGTATTTTCCAGTTCATTATTTTATTTCATCTTCACAATAACCCTGGATGGTTGATATCATTCCCAACTTAAAGATGAAAATACTGGGCTCTAGAAGATCAGGTGACTGGAGCTGAGACCGGCCCCAGGGCTCTGGCGGTGCAGTGCTTGCTCCAGCTCACCACAGCTGCTGCCTCCCAGTTGCTGTCTTTGGTCAACATTTATCTATTTGGCTTAACAGTTTAAATATATATGGATATTTAATCAGGGAAAGGGCAGTCCATGTAGATTTAAGCAACATGCTGTAAAAAAAGAAAAACTATTTTAAAAAAAACGTGTAAGCACTAATTAACCATGTACTCGTGCCCAGATTCCTTTGAATGAGTACTTATCTATTGGATACCTATAAGGAAGTGATGCTCAGCAGGTATTAGAATCAGTTATTTTCTAAGAAGTTTTTTCCCTGGTCATAAAGCTAATATGTGCTTATTAGTAGGAATGCAGACAGGATATAAAATATGAAGAAAATACATCTCTCATAATCCATAATATAGAGATACAGGTTACATAGCTAACATTTCATTAATTTGCCTCTTGCGTGTATGTGTATTAGCGTGTGTGAGTGTATGTAAACATTTCATGGTAAAGATGCACACTTAAAAATGAGCACGTACTGGTTTGTAACTTCCCTTTTGCATTAAACACATCTTTTGGACATTGTTTCATGTTAAATATGAATACGTGTGTCATGATTTTGAATGTCTGAGTAGTTCCATGATACAGATATATTTTAATGTGTTGAATCAGTGCTCTCTGAATGGATATTCAGGTAGTTTGTTTGGCTACAGTAAGGCTGAGGTTAATATTCTTATACATCTCTGCAAGCTGTTGGACTATTTTCTTTAGGATAATTTCTAGAGGTGTGCTTGTTATGCCAAAGGGATTTGGTCTTTATTGTATATTTGATGTGTATCATTGTATAGTATTTGATGCATATTGTTGCAATGCCCTCCGGGGAAGTTTATGCCTATTTATGCTGTCGTAGGAGTGTTTGAATTTATTATTTTCTGTACCATAGCTAACACTAAGAATTATTCTTTTTAAGTTTTGATAGTCTGATGAGGGAAGTGGTATTTCATGATTACTTTAATTTGTATTGCTTTAAGTACTTGTTAAATTGTATGTCTTTTTATATGTATATTGGCCATTTATTTATATTTCTGTGAATTGCTCTTTGTTTTTTGCGCCTTTTCTGTTGGAGTGCCTTGTTTTCTTTTTTCTTTTTTTTGAGACAGAGTCTCACTTTGTCACCCTTGGTAGAATGTCATGGCAGTCACAGCTCATAGCAACCTCAAATTCTTGGGCTCAAGCAATTCTCTTGCCGCAGCCTCCCAAGTAGCTGGGACTAGAGATGCCTGCCACAATGCCCGGATTTTTTAGAGACATCTCGCTCTTGTTCCAGCTGGTCTCGAAACTTGTGAGCTCAGGCAATCTACCTGCCTCAGCCTCCCAAGTACTGGGATTACAGGCGTGAGCCACTGCACCCAACCTGACTTCCTTGTTTTCTGATTGCTTTTAAAGAGCTCTTTAGACTATTAATTAACCTGCTACGTGGAATTTGTTATAAATACATTTTTTTAGTTTGTCATTTTTTTCTTTAAAATTTTATGTTACCGATGATCAACAAGGGGAATGCAGATACTGTAAAGCTTTTTGTGAATTTTTAAAGTGAAAAATAAAGCAACCATGTCTGAAAAAAAATTTTATGATACTTTTTGGTTTATCAAAGTTAAAATTTGAATATAGTTAAATTTATTAGCCTTGTCCTGTATTATTTTTGGCTATGGTCAACCTTATCAGAACCTTCCTTACCCCAGGGTTATTTAAGTATCTGCTTATATTCTAGTTCTTTTTAGTGTAAGAACCAAGTTAAAACAAGATGAAATTACCCTGATTATATACTAATTACGAAAGTTAGCTTAGTTTTGTTTGTAATGCAGCACCATCTCGGATACTTAGCAGTCATGGTAGGCACATTGCAAATTTTTGAACTCCCAATTATCCCAATATTTTAATCTCTTACAAATTTTGTAGTATAGTTAACTCAGTTTTCTATGTATGGCGTGTTCAAATCAGGTTAATGGATTATCTAGAATTTTTAATATTATCTACATTGAAAATGATAGGGTTATCTAATGTTGATTTTTGATATCTTTTGATTGCTTTATATTTTCATTTAGAAAAAAGTCTGATTTACCTTATTTAGCACCCTTAAAGCTTTGTTTAAATTGAAGTTGGGGAGGTGAGACTTTGGTGACATTTTCTTGTTTTATGTTTTTCAAGGTGTTTATCAGTGACACTAAATCTGAGTGCAAAAAAGTGCTTCAGACTATTCTGAAGAATAGAAGGCTCTGCTCTCTGTTATCTCCTTTTTTCACTCCCAATGCTGCCCCTGCAGAGTTCATACAGCTGTACGAGAAAGTGGTGAAATTTCTAAGTGAAGACAACAGTGATATGATTTTCATGCTGCTAACCAAGGTGAGAGTAATTCGATCCTGATGTTGTTGAAATGCAGCAATAGTTGTTGCTTTCTACTCCATAGAAATGAAAGTACCCCTGGAGTTTTGTTTCCAGGTAGACCATAGGCTGAGAGAGGCCTTTTTTCACATTTTGCCTGATCTTTGAGCAGCCTGACCTCACAGCTGCTGCTTCTGGGGCTGGGGGGTTGGTTGTATTGTGTGGGATCATCTTATTCTACGTAGCACAGAAAGGGCCTAGTTCCAACGCCCTTTTTAAAAACTTAGATCTGATTCATGTCTTGGGAAGGAGACTTGCTGTAATAAGATTTAGAAATGCATGGTTCTTTCAGGAACAGAATAACATCATAAATCAATAATGAATAGTAAGTAAGGTTTTTAAATTACCAAAAAAGCCCATGGGAGCAAAGAAAACTCAACCTCTGAGATCCCAGAGAGTGCAGTAGACATGGCATCAATTAGTGGACTTCTTGTATTCTTTTACATACTTGTATATGTACATTTTAGTTTCAATTTTTATAAAATGCTAGGTAATCTTTGAGTTTTAAACTAAATGTACACACAGACCTCTCTCTAAATACATTTTCTAGTGTAAATAAAACTGCTTCTCATTTCTTTTTCTTTTTAGTTCGATCTTAAGCAATGGTTAAACGCCACTAAACCTCCTCTGTCTGATCGTACCAGGCTGCTGGAATCCATTCATTTGGCACTTACTGCCTGGGGCCTTGAACCAGATGAGGATATTTTGATGCCATTTAATCTTTTCTGTAAGCACTGGACCTATCTTCTTCTCTACCAGTTCCCTGACCAGTACAGTGACATTCTCAGGCTGCTAATGCAAAGTAAGTGTCTTCATTTAATTGTGACTAACTAGATCTCAGTGAAATTTAATATCACATTTTCCATTCTACAGATGACATTCAGAAATGTAAAAATAATACAAGTACAGGAGTTGAGTCACTGATAATCACCTAAAGGGCTGGAAGAACAGTGCCCCAAAAGTTATGTGTAAAAATGGCCAATTATGGTCCTAAATGCTATAATAGAATGGGCTCCAATTGGGCAGGGCAGTGCATAGTGCTGGTGTTGAAGTCTACAGTCATATACCCACCTCTTTACTGTGACTTTCAGTTGTCTTAAAGTGGAGGGGTGGTAGGAGACGGTTTGCCTATTTTATAGATGACAGACATGGTCAGGAAGGGAAATTGTACCTTTATAAAGTGTCTAATGCACAACTGGGTTCTTTTTATAGTTTACAGATAGTAAATACATTTGGGGGATTTTTTTCCTTCTAATTTTTTGACTCTTGGGTTTTGCAAATGAATTTATCCTTATATAATGATTGACTGTATTTATATTTGCCAATGGAAAGAGCAGCATTAAAATTTCCACATTCTCACTATTTCTGCCCCCTGCTTCCTGCAGTTCTTCATAGGAGTGTTTAAGATTAGAGGAAGAATGAATGGTATAGGCTTTTTTATTTTTGAAATTCTTTAGGCACTAATTTTATTGAAATTTGATAAATGAAATAGTATTTACTTTATTCTTGTAAACTTCATACTGTTTAATAGATGTAATAGAAAACTAAATTTTACTTTCTGTCAAATCTTTGTGTTATTTAGTAGGAATTGTTTAATGGATAAGTTTATGATCCAGTGTGTTGGGTTACCTGAAAGATCCTGAAATGTATGATCTCTCATTTTCAAAGCACTTCAAGTTTTACTTGTTTCCTACAGAGGCAAGTTGCAGAGTAGGTAGAGAATGGTAGACAAGAAATATATGTATATGAATTTTAATGAATATGTGCATAGCTAATTTTTGTTCTAAACTCTCAAAATTTGATCCAGTGTTATAGGTGTTTTTCCCTGAAACTATTTAAAGAGATTATGAACTGTTTATGTAGACTACCACCGACTTGCAGTTAGCAGGAAAATTATACTTACTGGGAAAAGCAGTACAGCCAGCCTATTATTCTTATAGGCTTAAGAATAACAATGTCACTTCTCTCAGATTCCATGCCCTGTAGCCTCCTGGTTCCCCTCCCTCCCTGGCTACCATGTTGGTGTTCCTAGGGTTCCTTCCTTTGCTCTTCTACCACATATATTTTCCCTGGGGCAACCCATTGTTTTCCTTGCCTTCACTGCCGTCTCCCAAGTGTGCATGACTCCTACAGTGATAGCTTGATTTCTAGGCCACCATCCTAAGGTCTAGACCACAGTAGTCATTGGACATAGGTCCATCACTGTCCCCTGACGTATGGCAACTGACCTCACCCTTCCCCTCAGATCTGTTCCTGTTATCCAGTTTGATTCTCATACCCCCTCTGGATGGGAAGTACTGTAGGCGATATTATTCCTGTCCTCTGGGATGGGAGGTTTGTAAGTAGTAGAGCTGGGACTTGGGACTATGGCTAGTAGACTCCATTTTTCCATGCTGCCTCTCAGTCTTGATCTAGGTTTTTCCTCACTGTAGGAGTGGAACTTCAGGGCTAGTGGGAGACTCCTTCCTGAGAGTCTAGGGTGTACCCAGTCTCCCTGATCCTGTTGCTGTTGTGTCTCTTGCACCTGTAGATAACTGTAGCCCTCTAGCCAGGAGAATTGCGCCATTGCCATTGCCTTGTGAGGGTTGGAGTATGGAGGTCCCTTCGTCCCCGAGTCCAGCCCCGCTGGACTCATATACTACCACATATACTACTACCACAGGATCACCAGGAACATGGAAAATCAAATGTCCAGTTGATCAGTTAGTTTTTTTCATAGGTTCTCTTTATTTGGGTCTCTTCACCCCAGGTGTCCCTACGAGGTTTTGTTTGGATTGTATTTAATTTTTATTTCTTTGTAAAGCACACGTGTTCTTTGATGAAAAAGTTAGTTTGGTACTGACTTGGTCTTCCTTGTCCTTGCTCCTTAGGCTCTGCAGAGCAACTACTGAGCCCTGAGTGTTGGAAAGCCACTCTGAGAGCACTGGGCTGCTGCGCCCCCAGCTGCCAGCAGGGGGCAGCTTCTGCTGAGAGCACTGCGCTTGCAAGCTCTTCCGATGCTCTCTTGTCAGACAAGCAGGTGTGTAGCTTTTTTCTCTGACATGTTTGTGCATTTCTTTTACATTTCCGTTGCTATTTATTTTTTAAACATGTGGAATACTTTTATGCATTGTATTTAAGAGAGATTTATGCTTTTCTTGTCCTTTGCTTTCCCCATGTCCACTTTTTGTGAATTGTTTCTCTTGTGCCCTTCTGTCCAAGACAAGGGGAGGTGCTCCACTGTGTAAACCTTTCCTGCTCACCTTAGCCCATCTGACTCAACCCTGAGACCTGAGTTCACATGGGAATGTATTATATTTGAAATAATGATTCTACTGCTTTAGAAAAGAGTTTGAAATTCATCAATTTGTTTTTCATAGGCTTTGTATCTTTGTAACCCTATTATAAAATCAAAGACCTGTACCCCCATCACAGTGTGTCATAATACCATGCTAAAAGTAGACAGTCACTAAGCATTTTTTGACTGGTCATCTCTTCCAGGTAGTAGAGACTATACAGTGGCTTTCAGACTTTTTTTATAAGCTTCGGTTATCCAAGTTGGACTTTAAAAGCTTTGGTTTATTCTCAAAATGGAGTCCTTACATGGCTGATGTGAAGACACTCTTGGGCTATCTCGTGAGAAGGCTGATTGACTCAGAAATGGCCTGTTTGGCCCAAGACCCATCTGCCAGCAGCAAAACAGGTAATATACTTTAGTGCAATGTGGAGCTAGGTGTTCTGACCTTCCATTAGAAGAGATTTATAGACACATTAGGAGATTTATATCAGTACCAAGGAGAGAAAATGGAAAATAAGTAGTACAGGCATGGGCCCATGTATGTGTCATACCTATATCCATTAAATGGTGAATGTAGAATGCTTGCTGCAGCGTGCCCCTGCCCTTCCTTCACAGGGTGGGGTGCGAAGACATGGGTTTCAAACTCCAGCTCTTTCTTTCTGTTAATTTGTCTCACTAAGGACAGGGTTCTGAACATTTACACACATATTTTAAAAATGTATATTGTAAAATTATCTATGCCATCTTGCTGTAATGAAAAGTCTTCAATTCAGAGAAATTCCACTGGAGCAAATGAACACACAAGCATAATTACACTAAGCATGTTAGCATATGAGTTATGAGTATACAGATAAGAAGTAGATTTTCTATATAGTGTCATCAGTGATACTGAGAAAGGATGAATTTCTTATCTCTCAAATTTTTGGTTTTTAGTGCTGAGATCTCTACATTCAGTAATCATTCAGCTCTTTAAGCCATGGATTCTGGTTTTAGAGGACAATGAAAGGTAAATCGTTTTTTTAAATATTCAGATGTCTTTGAGATTCATAGACATAATTTTCCTGGTATTTGGTAGAAGTGATGAGTTTACAGATTTAATTTTTAGTTTTTAAGTTTAGAAAATGCTTCTTTACATAACTTAAAGACTTTTCCATTTATGAAACTGGTAGTCTGGATGATCAGAGATGTTGTCTTAATATTAATTTTAAAACAGAACTGTGCATTCATTTCCAGTTTTTCACAGTAAAGCACTGGAATGAGCTGTGGTATTTAATTTCTTGAAAACAGATGCTTCTTAGGTTCCTCTTAGACTGTGGTGATGTAACAAAATATGAGACTAATTCGATTTTCTCTCCTACATCAGTTATTTTCTGAAACTAAGTTGGCTATCAAATTACTGGGTGGGAATTACTCTTTAAACATGGAACTCTGAGATAAATCAAAGCATTATGTCATAAGCATTTGAAGTCTTTGAGATGTAGAGCTGTCCAAATGCACTGAGTTGCCGTTTCACTCTTTTTTCCTTAAAAAGACATATACAGAAGCTAGGTAAACTTATTAGGAGTTTGGTAAAAATTATGACAGTGGTAGACATCCCATTATACAAGGTGTTTTCAAAAGCATTGGTTTGATCTCAAGACTCAGAGAACGTGAAGAACATACTCAAGTCTCAGAGCTGGCTAACTAGTGTCCAGTCTCAGAGCTGAGACTAGAGCTCAGGTCTTTGACTTGTTTCAGGGCTCTTCACATTAACCCAGGTCATTTCAAGAGCCACTTAGGGAAAATGTGAAAGGCTCTGAATCTTTGCTTTTGCTAGAGGGCTATCCTTGAATAATCTATAAGCTTCAAAATCTTATAGTGATTGTATATTAACTGTTGACCATAGTGCTGGCTGCTTATTTCCAGGAAGAATTAATGGATTTTTGTTTTTTAAAGAGAGATGTTGCTGAGGCTGGCCTTGGCCACGGGGGTACATGTGATCCTCCTGCATCAGCCTCCCGAGTAGCTAGATTTAGGCTGGATTTGGAGGTGCTCCACCACACCTGGTTTAAGAACTTATTTTGATATTGAATTTTTTGGACCAAATTCATAAATCAAAATTTTCATATAGAGAAATTCTTTGGCTACTCCCTGTCTTAATTTTCAGCCATCTGTTTATTACATGGATTTTATTTTTTATTTTTTATGCTTAGGGTAAAAAAACTATTTGTTGAAGCCACCTTAAGGTCTTTTTCTAAGGCATTTGAAAGGGAGCCAGGATGGTTAAAGGTCTACATTCATTATAAAAAGATGTTAATTTAGGAGTTATTTAAATTAGGTAGCAGTTATTTAAATTAGGTAGTACACTTCTGAAACTTAATTGCATTGGACTAAAGGGTAGGAAGGAGAGAAAATAAAATTACACAATTGATGCTACAAGCTACAATTTACCTCTAGGTATTTACAGCATTTGAGGTGGTGTAAAAGTGTGTTAGGGCTACATACCGGAAGGTTTTCTAGGACTTAGTCTGTCCATAGGCTGTGGGAACTATAGTAATTTAATCTTGGGTGCTTTTATTTTTAAGTGGGTGTTTCTTTTCTTTAAAATAGCCAAAAACGACATTACCCTTGGCTGGAGAGTGATGCGGTGGTGGCCTCAAGCATCGTGCAGTTGTTCACGGACTGTATTGACTTACTACACGAGAGTTTCAAAGGTAGGAAGGTGTCTGGTTTTATGTCTGGTTAGCTTTCATTGTTTCCTTAAGCCAGTCGGTGAGTCTTGTGCTTCTGCCTTCTTCTTTAATTTTAGTTAATAGGCACTTACCTGTGACTGAAGATAGTAATACAGTTAATTACTTAGGGTTAAGTTTGTAGATTCTTACTTTTTCATGAGGTTGCTCTGAGTTTGTCAGTTGTGGAAGTTTGTAGTCATTCTCACTTTAGATACTGCCTACCCTGCACGTTGAACTTCATCCTACACTCCGTGACTCTCAGCTTCTTTCATATTTTCTGTCTTGTGCTTTATCCTGGGTAATTTCTGAGGCCTCTTTATCTAAGTTTGCTTAAAATATATTAATTGGATTTTTTATGTTAGTGGGTATATTTTCCATTTCTATAAGACCTATTTATTTATTCATTTATTTATTTAGAGACAAAATCTCTCTGTGTTGCCCACGCTGATCTCAAACTCTTGTCCTCCAGCGAGTCTCCTGCTAGGCCCCTCAAAGTGCTGTGATCACAGGCTCAAGTCACCATGCCTGACTGAGAAGATCTGTTTGTTTTTTTTTTTTTTTTGAGACACAGCCTCAAGCTATCCCCCTGGGTAGAGTGCCGTGGCATTACAGCTCACAGCAACCTCCAACTCCTGGGCTCAAGCGAGTCTCCTGCCTCAGCCTCCCAAGTAGCTGGGACCACAGGCACCTGTCACAACGCCCGGCTATTTTTTGGTTGCAGCCGTCATTGTTATTTGGCAGGCCGGGCTGGATTCGAACCCGCCAGCTAAGGTGTATGTGCCTGGCGCCACAGGCACCAAGCCCGATCTGTTTGTTTTTCAAATCTATCTTGATCTTTTTTGGTAACATCTAATTTCTTTCTTTTGTCATAATTCTAATTCTTATTTCCTTAAATTGTTTAAACATGCTTACTTTATTTTCTGATCCATATACAGTGATTCCATTATCTGCAGGTCCTTTGGACTCTTAGTCTTGGAGGCTTGTTTCCTTGGGTGTTTTGTAATTTTGTATTGTGAGCTCCTATTCAAAGAAACATTATGAAGATCCCATAAGGTCTATGCTGCGGGTATGGAAGCCCTCCAGAGAAGATCTACATTTGTTGTCAGCTGAATTACTTAATTTCTTGGGTTGGGGTTTCCCACACTGCAAGTTGCAAACCCCAGACTCACTTGAAGGCAGGCCTCAATTTCCAAAGTAAACCTTTTCTCTTCCCTGGCTTAGAGTCCAAGCTAAGGCAGAGGAGTTCCTTCTTTCCCCTCAGTCTTACTTTTCAGCAGGGATATAGTTCCTAAAAGACTTTGTCTTTAGACGTTAGACCCCCATCACCTAGCCCTTGGCTGGCTTCAGCATCAGTTTCACACCTTGCTTTCCTAGTTTCCCTTTGCTTCTGGTTCTAGCTGTGTTCTCTCACTGAGTGTACCTAGCTGTGCATTCTCGGAGACGTTATTATATTTTACCCAATATCTAAATGTTTTATAATATCTAAATATTATAAAATATCTAAATGTGTATCTAAATGTTTTATAGTTGGGGGGTTATAAGGATATGAGGTGCAACCAGCTAAGATTTTTGTAGTAGCTACCTGTTTTTCCTATTACTAGTTTCTGTTCTTACCTAGATTAATTTTCTGAAAATACTATTATGTCCTGTGATAGGCCTATTGCGAAACTTTAAGGGTAGTATTTTAGCTCAGCATTCAACTGTGTCTGGTCCCAGCACACTTCAACCACATTGTGTGGTTGTTTTCGTATGGAGACATTCCCTTCCAGCCCTACTGCTGTACTCACTGTTCCTAGAAGTCCTTGGACCTTCCCTCTACTGCTCACTCGCTGATGTGGCTTCCACCACCTGGACGAAGCCTCAAGCCTTTTCTATCCTCCCACAGCCTGTTCATGCTCATTCCTTTCTCTCCTGCCTCAGAAACTTCATAGTGCATTGTTGTAGCGTGGGTATTTGGGAACAGACACCATGATGGGGTTAGAATTCCAGGGATTTATTCGGGGTGTAGCCTACAAAGGTGAGAAGAGGAGGAGCAGGAGAGGAAAACCTCAGGGCAAGTCTAATGCCTATGAGAGGAGAGAGAGAAAGAAGAGCAAGGAGCCACTCGTTGGTCATCAGCGTCCAGATCTGTTGTGCTCAGTTGCTGGCTGCCAGGGAATAGTATGTCCTCAACGTAGATGCTATTGCAGATCCTATAGGTGCTGCAGCTGGACCAGCGAGTTCTGTGTAAAGGGAATTCTGAGCAGTGCACTTTCCTGGCTGCCACACGTTTGTGTGGCATCTGGTTTTAACGTTAACAATATGTCATCTGGGTTTCTTAGTAATAGATCTTATTTTTTAACTGACTTTGTGTTTTAAGGCAGTTTTAGGTCCACAGCAAAATTGAGTGCAAAGTATAGTTCCCATAGACCCACTGCCCCCCATATGCATGAGCTCCCCACTCTGGACGTCCCACACCAGAGGGAAATATTTGTTGTAATTGATGAGCCTGTATTAAAGCATCATTATCACACATGGCCCGTATTTTACATTAAGGCTCAGTGTTGGCCATGTATGTTTTCTGGGTTTGGACCAATGGATAATGACATGTATCTACCATTGTAGATCATACAGAGTAGTTTCACTGTGGAGAAAACCCTTTGTGCTCTGCCCATTCATCCCTTCTTCCCCTCAACCCCTGGTAGCCACTAATCTTTCACTATCTCCATAGTTTTACCTTTTCCAGAATATCATATGGTCAGAGTTATACCATATGTACCTTTTTCATATTGGCTTCTTTCATTTAGTAACATGCATTTAAATTTCCTTCATGTCTTTTCATGGCTTGGTGGTCTGGATGTACCTCATTCAGTATTTTGAATTAACCATTAATATATACGGTCTTGTCTTTTTTGCCCAACTATAAGGTATAAATTCATATTCTCGGTGTTTGTTTGATCAGTATTGATTCAGTGAGCAACATAGGAAATCCTAATAGTATATGCTTTTTTTTTTTTTTTTTGGAAGGGCAGATTTCCAGCTGCTTTTTACTGTGCAAAATATATTGATTAGTGGGAGAAAGATTTGCACATTAAATTATAGTCATAAAGGCTTTCTATTCAATTTTCTGTATAAGGAAAATCACCCTTCAGCTCTTGCCTGTGTATATAAAAGAAGAAAGTGGCTTAGGAAGACATACAACACCAAGACTTGGTAGCTGGGCTCAGAGATAAGAAACAGGAAAGCTATGCAAGATAGGATGAAGAAGTATTAAATTGTAACCTTTTTGTGAGATCATCTGCTCCACCTATCTCCCTTTACTGATAAGAAAAATGAAGACCTGGAAAGCAAAATGAATTTATTGTCTATACCAGAGGTTATTTGTGGGTTGGCTGGAATTGGAAGCTTAATCTTATCCAAAGAGATTATTGCCTCCTGGATGTCTTCTACCAACTTACCCAACTTTATCTAAACAAAACTATCTTTATCCCTATTTAAACAAATGCTGCCTTAACCCCTGTCTTAAAAGGTTGTTAAAAACATGTATTACTATTTCATCATGCTGTGTAGATTTTTAAAAAGTGTTGGGAGATTGAGGGCCCAAGAATGTTAGAAATGACAACATTTGCCTGGTACCATGTGTTGAGAAAATTTCAGAAGGGCTGTGTTGAGAAACCCCATCAGGCTTGTGCTCTTCTTTGTGCATTTCATTCCTTTGCATAGAAATAGAAAATCTGATAGCATTTGTTTCACACTAAATGTGCTATTATCCCATGAGGGCATTAAAGGAATTGATCATCGTGAGGATGATATTGTATAATCCAGGCCGCAGAGTGTGTAAGATTCATTTGAGAAGTGCTTGCATGAATGATAGTTAAGAGTCTTGTTTTATTGCACCAGAGGTTAAGTTTTAGTCTTGCCAAACACTTCCTTTTTTTGTTAAAAAATTATCATTAATATTTTTGATTGTCAAGTCATAATTGTTTATAATTATGGGATACAATGTGATGTTTTGATATATACAAGATGCCATGATTAAATCAAGCTAATTAACATACCCATTACTTCACTTACCTTTTTTATGGTGAGATATTTGAAATTTGCCCTCATAGTTGTTTTGAAATAATAGTAGAACCTCCATAAATTGACCATCTAAGGGACTGTAACAAACTCATCAACATATAGAGGTGGTCAGCATAAGGAACTAGGCCTGCTATGGATTGAGTACACGTGGTACATGTGTGATCTATGAAAATTAGGTCAACGTAAGGAGGAGGTCAGTGTAGGAAGGTGGTCAGCTATAGAGGTTCTGCTGTATACGTTATTATTAACTGTAGTCACCCTGATGTTCATTAGATTTCAAGACCTATCTCATCTGATCTTGGAAGCTAAGCAGAGTTGGGACTAGTTAACAGTTGGATGAAAGATCTCAAAACCTATTCCTCCTGTCTATCTTAAACTTTGTAGTTTCTTTTTTTCTTTTCTTTCCTTTTCCTTTTCTTTTGAGATAAGCTCTTCCTGTATGTTGCCCAGGCTAATCGCGAACTCCTGGGCTCAAGCTATCTTCCTGCCTCAGCTTTGAGAGTAGCCCAGATTACATCTTTATACCTTTTGATCAGCAACTCCTCATTCCCTCTCTCCCTCCCTTTCTGCCCTGCCTTCTCATATCCATCATTCTACTCTCTACTTCGTGAGTTCAAATTCATTAGATTCCATATGCCAGGACTGTCCAGAAAGCATCCAGCCACACAGCATGAAAAATAGTGTTAACAGTGGCTGGATACTTTCCAGCCAGCTGTTGTATGAGTAAGATCATGTGGTGTTTGTCGTTCTGGGCCTGGCTTATTTCACTTAGCATGCTGCCCTCCAGATGCCTCCATGTTTGAAAAGGATAGAATTTTCTCCCCTTTAAGGCTGAGTAGTATTCTGCTGTGTATATGCCACATTTTCTTTATCCATTGACAGGCATTTGGGATATTTCCATATCTTTTTTTTTGAGACAGAGCCTCAAGCTGTTCCCCTGGGTAGAGTGCTATAGCATCACAGCTCACAGCAACCTCCAACTCCTGGGCTCAAGC